GGGGAGGGAGGGGGAGGGCATTTCTTAATGAAATAGATGCATAAATAGAAAAAAAAGGAGAAAAATAAATATAATTAAATAAATAATATAAAAAAAAAGAATAAAATAAAAAAAAGGAAGAAAAATAACAAAGAAAATGTCTTTTTTGTTGCTAAGGGGTGACCAATGGTTACCACCATAGACTAGACAGTAGCAACCACCGCCGCCTGTTGCTGCTGCTGCTGCAGCAGCAGCAACAGCAGCAGCAACAGCAGCAAGGTTGCTTCTTCTTTTTATATTTCTTTGTATATTTAATTATTTAATTAATTAAATAAATAATTATTTTATTTTATTTAATTAATTATTATTTATTTTTAATCTTTTATTTATTTTTATCAGTAGATTATTGTCTTTTTTTTTTGTCATCTTTTTTTGCTGCTGTGCTGCAACACGTTATAGAGAGAAAAGTTGCTGCTGCTGCTGCTGCTGCTGCTGCTGCTGCTGTTGCTGTTGCTGTTGGTGCTGGTTTTGCTGCTGTTTGTATTGCTGCAGCTGCTGTTGTTGCTGCTGTCTCGCTCGGTGTTGTAGCCACTGCTGCAGTGCTTCCTGGTGGCGGTGCTGCTGCTGCTGCTGCGGTGTCTGCTTCCTGCTGTGTTGCTGCTGCTGCTGCTGCTGCTGCTCTTACCACGTGTCTATACACCCAAATTGCCCTCTCCTTATCCAGGTGTACGTACACCCCAACAGCAGCAAGATGCATCCAGGAGGAGAGAGTGCGCATACACAATCGAGGTGGGGGGAGAATAATGGAAGCAGCAGCTGCAGCAGCAGCAGCAGCAGCAGCAGCAGCAGCAGCAGCAGGCCTGATGAGGCCCCTCTCTATAGAAGACCCCCTCTTAGTGTCCATCAGACCGTAAGGACTGTCTCTCTTACTCTGCAGCAAAGTCTTCCTCAGCGTAAGTGCAGCAAAAGCAGCAGCAGCAGCAGCAGCAGCAGCAGCAACTGCAGCAACAGCGGCAACTGCAGCAACTATGCAACTGCAGCAACTGCAGCAACAGCAGCAACAGCAGCAGCAGCAGCGGAGTTCGTAGCAGCAGCAACTATTTATCCTTTATTTATATATAAATAAAAAGAAATGTTTGCTGCTTCTTGTGTCTTATTTGCTTCGCGGTGTCTTCTGTGTCTTGCTGCTGTCTTGCTGCTGTCTTGCTGCTCATGCTGCTGTTGTTGTTGCTGCTGCTGCTGTGTTGCTGCTAAGGTTTGCTGCTGCCTCCTGGAGAGACAACGACAAGTCATACCTTCTCTGAGCATGTTAGCTACCCATCGCAGCAGCAGCAGCAGCAGCAACAGCAGCAGCAGCCAGCTAGCTTCCTGCAGCAGCAGCAGCAGCCAGCTAGCTTCCTGCAGTGGCAGCCAACTAGCTTCCTGCAGCAGCAGCAGCATGATCTAGATGAGCAGCGGCAGCGGCTGCTGCAGCAGCACCAGCGGATCTGGCAGCAGCAGCAGCAGCAACAGCAGCAGCAGCACCATGCAGGCAATCAAGAGTGGCCGCATTCAAGGCCTCACCTTCCACCACATCAACAGCAGCAGCAGCAGCAGCAGCAGCAGCAGCATCTGTACCACGAGCTCCTCCATGCGCAACAGCAGCAGCAACCGCAGCAGCAGCAGCAGCAGCAGCAGCAGCAGCAGCAGCGGTGGCAGCAGCAGCCGGAGTGGGAGCAGCGGGAAATAGTAATAGAAGTAGAGAGAGTATGGCAGGTCCCTCCTGAAGGAGCAGCAACTCCTGTAGCTAAACCATGGCAGCAGCAGCAGCAGCAACAGCAGCAACAGCAGCAGCAGCAGCAGCAGCAGCAGCCGTATAATGGGAGCACACGCCTGCATCCTGGCCCTTGGCAACAACGCCGGTGGCCCCACCAACCCGCTGAGCAGCAGCAGCAGCAGGAGCAGCAACAGCAGCCGCAGCAGTACCAGCAGCAGAACCCTGAACAGCAGCAGCAGCAGCAGCAGCAGCAGCAGCAGCAGCAGTGGCCATCCCCTAGTAGTCCATCATGGTCTGCAGCATTGAATGAGTTGGCTAGACTATCACACCAAGAGGAAATACATGACCAAAAACGTAGACAGCAGCAGCAGCAGCAGCAGCAGCAGCAGCATCCGTGGCAGTGGCAACAGATACAGCCACACCAGCAGCAGCAGCTGCAGCAGCAGCAACAGCAACAGCAGCAGCCTTGGAGGCCACACAATTCCCGTCATCCTAATCCCCTGCATGCAACACGAATTCGTCCCTTCCCTCACCACATGCAGCAGCAGCAGCAGCAGCAGCAGCAGCAGCAGCAGCAGCAGCAATTAACAACAGAAAATCCTTACAACGAGCGGCGTCGTCATAATCACCACCGCCGTCAATCCCATCAGCAGCAGCAGCAGCAGCAGCAGCAGCAGCAGCAGCAGCACAATAATTTACAGGAGCAGTTACTACAGCAGCAACAGATGCTGCATCTACTGCAGCAGCAGCAGCAGCAGCAGCAAGAAGAAGAAGAGGAAGAAGAAGAAGAAGAGTATCCAATAATATTAGATAAGGGTATTGGTGATTTTTTTAATTCAGGTGTATGTACACCTCAATCAGGTGTATCTACACCTAATAAAAAAAATAATATAAATAATAATAATAATAATATAAATAATAATAATAATAAATTAAATATAAATATAAATAAAATAAATAATAATAATATAAATAATAATAATAATAATAATATAAATATAAATAATAATATAAATAATAATTCAGGTGTATATGCAGGTAATGGATTAACACCAAGAAGATTTAAATATTTAATACAACATGAATTTTATTATAAAATAAATCTAATTATATTACAAAATAAAATTAAATATAAATTAATTAAGCAGCAACAAAAAAAATACCAGCAGCAGCAGCAGCAGCAGCAACAGCAGCAGCAGCAGCAGCAGCAGCAGCAGCAGAAGCAGAAGCAACAGGAACAGGAAAAAGGGGAAAAAGGGGAAAAATATTGGGAAAAAGAAGGAGGAAAAAAAGATAAACATAATAAAATATATAATAAATATAAACAAAATAAATATAAAAAAGGAACAGAAGGAGAGCAGCAACAGCAACAGCAACAGCAGCAGCAACAGCAACAGCAGCAACAGCAGCAACAGCAACAGCAACAGCAGGAAAAAGATCAACAGGAAAAAGTGGAACAAGAGCACCACCAGCAGCACCAGCAGCAGCAGCAGCAGCAGCAGCAGCAGCAGGAGAGTGTTGATGGGCGCACAAGTCCTCCGTCATTAGCAGCAGATGATGATACATTCATATCTGCAGCACAAACAGAAACAGCAGCAGCAGCAGCAACAGCAGCAGCAGTAGCAGCAGCAGTAGCAACAGCAGCAGCAGCACCTGCAGCAACAGAAGCAGCAGCAACAACAGCAGGAGCAGCAGTAGCAGCAGAAGCAGCACGACCAGAGTCAACAGAAGCAGATGCAGCAGCAGCAACAGAAGTAACTGTAACAGATGCAGCAGCAGCAACAGAAGCAGCAGCAGCAGCAACGGAAGCAACAGCAACAGAAGGAGCAGCAACACCAGCATCTGAGGTGACTGCAGCAGCAACTGCAGCAGCAGCAGCAGCAACAACAGAGGGAACGGCAGTAAGCGCTTATCCCCTCTAATATAATCCCTTATATACATATGCTGCTGATGCTGCTGCTAATGCTGCTGCTGCTGTTGCTGCTGCTGCTGTTGCTGCTGCTGTTGCAGGAGCCTAGAAGTTCATCGTTCCCCAAACGGGCGAGGCGGCAGCAGCATTGGCGGGACAGGCGACGGCAGCAGCAGCAGCAGCAGCAACAGCAGCAGCAGTACAAGCAAGATCAGCCCAATCTTCAATACTAGTAGTCGTAGCAGCAGCAACAGCAGCAGCAACAGCAGCAACAGCAGCAGCAGAAAGTGCTGCAGCAGTCCCCTTTCGTGGGTCCTGCTGCAGCAAACGCATGCAGCCGCAGAAACAGCAGCAGCAATAGCAGCAGCAACAGCAGCATATTTGTGTTGCATGTACACCGCATTGCCCTTGTTGTTACCATGCATGCATGCATGCATGCACGCATGCATGCATGCAAATATAATGGGGCTTTTTTGTATTTTTTTTTGTCTTTTTATAATTTTGTATTTTTTTAATTCTTTTGTCTTTTATAACCCTAAAATATCTCGTGACATAATTGCTGCTGCTGCTGCTGCTGCTGCTGCAGCAACAGCAGCAGCAACAACAACAGCAGCAGCAGCAGCAGCAGCAAATGAGACAGTAGTAGACGATAGAAAACAATTGCTCGTTTTAGAGACAAATAAGGAGACAGTTTTGTTTATTAAAAAGGAGACACTTGCTGCCTCCTTGCTGCTGCTGCTGCTGCTGCTGCTGCTGCTATTGTTGTTCTTGCAGCTGCAGCAGAAGCAGCAGCAGCAGTAGTGTATTATTGCAGCCATATGCTGCTCCCCATTTAGATCCTTTGGATTTGCTGCTGCTGCTACTGCTACTGCTGCTGCTGCTGCTGCTGTTGCTGCTGTTGCTGCTGCTGCTGTTGCTGCTGCTGCAGCTAATGCAGTATCTTCTTCCCCTATTGCAGTATCTGCACCTCCTACTCTTCCTCCTCTTCCTCTTCCTCTCCCTCTTCTTCCTCCTCCTCCTCCTCTGCTGCTGCTGCTGCTGCTGCTGCTGCTGCTGCTGCTGCTGCTGCTGCTGCAGCTAGAGGTAAGGATGAATAACCTTGAAGATATCCGCGGATATAAAAATTTTATAAAAAATTTCGCAGCAAATTTTGAGTGCGATTAGATCAAAGGGAATTGTGTCTGCTGCTGCTGCTGCTGCTGCTGCTGCTGCTGCTGCTGCTGCTGCTGCAGTACCTTTGCTGCTGCTGCTGCTGCTGCTGCTGCTGCTGCTAGTATTGTTACTAGTACCTGAGGAACAAGCTACTAATAATCTAGATATACTCTTCTGTGTCTTGTCGCTATTTATTGTTAATAAAATATGTTGTGCTGTTTGCTGCAGTAGCCAATCCTCTTCTTGGGTGTCTGTACACCCGAATTCAAGGAATTTATTTGCTGCTGCTGCTGCTGCTTCTCTTTGTTGTTGTTGATGCTGCTGTTGTTGTTGCTGCTGCTGCTGCTTCTTCTTTGTTTGCTTATGTACTGCTGCATAAGAATTCCATCTTATACCCATGCGGCTTACTGGGCATGCAGACCTCCATGGCTGCTGCAGGTCCTGTAGCTGCTGCTGCTGCAGTCGCTGCTGCTGCTGCTGATAATGATGCTGCTGCTGCTGCTGCTGCAGCTTACGTAATGCATGCAATACAGCAGGAGACGCCTTAAGGGGTACAGGCTTAGGGTACTGTGCTGCATAACGCTGCAGCACAGCAGCAACTTGCAGTGTATGTGCAGCAGACCCTATGCATGCAGCAGATGGCTGCAGCAGCAGCAACCAATCTACAGCAGATATTGCTGCTGTTGCTGCACCTAGCAGCAAATATACTGCATGCATTATTATATCTATAGGCAGCAAACAAGGTAATGCTGCCTGCAGCTCCTCTATGTACACTACACGACTTAATAAATAATCCTATACACATACACATACACATACATACACCCTAAACCCTAAACCCTAAACCCTAAACCCTAAACCCTAATAGACAAACCCTAAACCCTAAACACTAAACTAAGGAACACAAACCCTAAAGAAGAAACCCTAAACCCTAAAACATAAACTACCAGTGACGAAGCTAGTAGCAGATTCCAACAGCACCAGCAGCTGCTGCTGTTGCTGCTGCTGCTGCTGCTGCTACTACTGCTGCTGCTGCTGCTGCTGCAGATATGTCTTACTTGTGCCAAATGCCAGCTGGGGATCAACGCGGCGCGACTCTCCATAGACTCGCATGCCTCCGATGCCGCACTCTGCTGCTGCTGCTGCTGCTGCTGCTGCTGCTCTTGCTGCTTCTGTTGCTGCTGCTGCTCTTGCTGCTTCTGTTGCTGCTGCTGCTGCTGCTGCTGCTGCTCGCTGGATTCATTACGGCTGCTGCTTCGGGACTCCGATTGAGCCCTGGTGCTACTCGAGTCACTAGCACCATCGCTGCTGCTGCTGCTGCTGCTGCTACTAGTATTGCTGCTGCTGCTGCTGCTGCCGATGCTACTGCTGCTGCTACTAGTATTGCTGCTGCTGCTGCTGCTGCCGATGCTACTGCTGCTGCTACTACTGCTGCTGCTGCTGCTGTTGCTGTTGCTCTTGCTGCTGCTGCCCGAGCTTATTCTTATATAGGTTGTATATACAGTTGGTTGCATCTGCCCTGGTCTAAGCAGCAGCGAAGAAGAGCCGTCTGTCTCCTCTGCTGCTCCCTTTTCTGCTGCTGCTGCTGTTGCTGCTGTTGCTGTTGCTGCTGTTGCTGTTGCTGCTGTTGCTGTTGCTGCTGTTGCTGCTGTTGCTGCTGTTGCTGCTGTCTCCTTGCTAGCATCACGAACATCAGCAGCAGCATCAGCTGCATCAGCAGCAGCAGCAGCAGCAGCAGGTCTGCTGCAGCAGGACGTAGGTACCCTAAGGTTAGGGAAATCTTTATAGATATTTATACCAAAGAGAAGACACAGCAGCAAAGCAGCCTGACACAGCAGCACGGCCTCCTCTACTGCAGCAGCAGGAGACTCGTTGCTGCTGCTGCTGCTGCTGTTGCTGCTGCTGTTGCTGTTGCTGCTGCTGCTGCTTTTGCTGCTGCTGCTTATGGCCCTTTTAGAGCAAAACTTTACATGCTCAAAGGACACAGGCTGTCTTGGATTAATAACAAGGGGGGCCCCTGCGGGGGCCCCCGGGGCCTCGGGGGGCCCCTCATGGGCCTCTAGGGGCCCCTCAAATAAAGAATTAAAAGGGTTCAATTTATCCTCTTGATTCTTAAAAACAGGAAGACGCTCCAGGGTCACCTGCACAGCCAAACCCTAAACCCTAAACCCTAAACCCTAAACCCTAAACACTAAACCCTAAACCCTAAACACTAAACCCTAAACCCTAAAGCTTGGAGATTGAGTAGAAGGGGAAGAGAGTTAAACAAAGCCATAAACCCTAAACCCTTGATGAGACTACTAAAACCCTAAACCCTAAACCCTAAACCCTAAACCCTAAACCCTAGCTGACCGGCCATTCAGGTAGATTATAAGGTAGATATTCAAAGACAAGAACAAACCCTCTTTTAGTAATTCTTTCTGGTACTCCCCATTTCTTCCCCATCTGCTGCAGCCTCTGCTGCTGCTGCTGCTGCTGCTGCTGCTGCTGCTGCTGCTGCTGCAGTGTAGGCTCAACAAATAGACTAGCAGCAGCAAGAGCCATTGCTGTCTCCTTCTTATCTGTATTATTTAGATCTAAAGGGAACCATCTTAGTCTCTCCATACTATCAACAAATTCATCAACACTTATACTGTACCCTAATTCATCTACAGGTAGGGGGGCCCCTCCCCCTTCTTTTGGGGGGCCCCCCTCTCTTGGGGGCCCTCTCTCCTTTGGAGGACCACCACTATCCTTGGGGGCCCCTTTGTCTCTACTAGGGGGACCCCCATCCTTCGGCGTACCCTTTTCCTTTGGGGGGCCCCCCTCCTTTGAAGAACTCTTAACTCTTGGGGGGCCCCCTTGGGGGCCCCCAGATTGGGGCCCCTCAGAGGCTTGGGGGGCCCCTGTTGTTGATGAATTAGAAAGGGAGACACTTTTTAATTTATTAAATACAAAAGATAAATCTAAAGGAGACACCAGCAGACGCTGCAAGGAGACAGCAGCAGCAGCAGCAGCAGCAGCAGCAGCAGCAGCAAACACACACACACACACACACACACACACACACACACACACACACACACACACACACACACATAAGGAGACGTTTATTGCTGCTGCTGCTGCTGCTGCTGCTGCACCTACTGTTGTATTTATTCCCTTGTGCTGCAGCACTTGCTGCACGAGCAGCAGCATCAACAGCAGCACTATCAACATAAACCTCAACAGCAACAGCAACAGCAACAGCAGCCCAGCAGCAGCAACAGCAACAGCAGCAGTAACAGCAGCAGCAGCAACAACAGCAGCAACAATAATAATAATAAATAGTATAACTAACCTCAATATGTTCCTTAATCCTTCTTAATGCATTCTGTACCCTCCTCTTCTCATTACCCCTATTTATATCTGCTGCTAGGGGGGCCCCCATGCTGCAGCAATGCTCAATTACCTTCCTACCTACAGCAGACTGCAGCATTTGCTGCCATAGCTGCTGCTGCAGCAGCACATAAGTACCCTCTGCATCTAATACATTTGTTTGCTGCACCTGGCACCTCTGCAACAGGGTACCACGAGATACAAATACTGCACCAGGTAATAAAGGGGGCCCCCCTATTGGGGGGGCCCCCACCGTCGGAGGGAGCCCCGAAGGAATTGGGGCTCCAGGTGGGACGGGGGGCCCCTTAGGGGCCCCCCTAGAGATCCCCCTAGGGGGGCCCTTGTCCCCGCTTGCCGCCCTAGGGGTCCTTGCTGTTGTAGGGGGGGCCCCTGGGGACCTACTGTGGGGGCCCCCCCTAGGGGTCTTAATGGGTAATGATGTGGGGGCCCCACGAGGGGTCCTAGTTGGTTGTCCCCTAGAGGAAGTCCTTAGGGGGGCCCCTGTTGCTGCTGTTGCTGCTGTTGCTGTTGCTGCTGCTGCAGGGGCTCCTGTTGCTGTTTGCTGCTTAGATTGTCTCTTAGATGGACCTTCAGGTGTATCTGCAGGTGCAGCAGGAGAAGAAGAGAAATCAATCCATGCATCTCTTGCTGCTGCTGCTGCTGCTGCTGCAGATGCACCTAAAGAAGATATATAAGAACGCAGCTGCTGCTCCCGCTGCAGCACTGCTGCTGGATCTGGTGCTGCGCTGCAGCGATGAGGAAGGGGGACTAAACGTGTTGCAAAACTGCTGCTGCTGTTGCTGCTGCTGCTGCTTTTGCTGCTGCTGCTGCTGCTGCGTGTTGGTACTTTGCTGCGGGGGGTCTGCTGCTCCTTAAGGGGTATCTTTAAGGATGAGGAGAGTCGGCCGTGGAAGGCAGCAGCAGCAGCAGCAGCACCTTGCTGCAGTTGCTGCACCTTCTCAGGAGCTGCAGCAGGAGCTGCTGCTTCTGCTGGTGTTGCTTGTCTTGATGCTTGTGCTGCTGCAGCTGCTGCTGCTGCTGCAGCAGCAGCGGGCGACGGGGCCTCCATCGCGTACGTACAGCTGCTGCTGCTGCAGAGATTGAAATCCCCCCTTATAAGGCATCCAAAGGAAATAAAAAAGTATAAAAGACCTCAGAGTATTTTGTCTAGGGTTTAGGGTTTAGGGTTTAGGGTTTAGGGTTTAGGGTTTAGGGTTTAGGGTTTAAGACAGCGGTAAGAGACCAATGGAGAGGCCGCTATACACCTTCAGGTGTATATACACCTGAAGTGTTTCTTGCTGCTGCTAAGAAGGAGAGATATTAATTTTAATTTTATTTAATTATTGTCTATAAATAAGAAAAAAGAGCAATAAATCAGGCCTAGTAGCCTCCTTGAACTGCTGCTGCTGCAGTAGCTGCTGCAGTAGCTGCTGCTGCTGCTGCTGCTGCTGCACTGACTGGTGGTGCTGCTGCTGTCTGTCCACCCACCATGTGTAGTTGCTGGTAGCACCAGGACAATAAAAAAGGAGGAAAATAAATAAAATAAAATAAATTTTCTTTTATTTATATATTTATTTATTTATTTATTTATTTTTTCTTCTTCTTTTATACAAAAAAAGAACAAAGAAGAAGAAGGCGGTGGTCATGGCGACAGGCCCGGGTGTCTCGGCAGGTTACCGCTAGCCGATTATTGATCTTCTTTTATTTATTTATTTTATTTATTTATTTTATTAATTTATTTTATTTATTTTATTAATTTATTTTATTTATTTATTTATTTAATTATTTATTTATTTGCTGATTGCTAATTACCTCCGCCTTCTACTGATTAGACCGCGCCTCCCTTTCCCTCACTGTAAGAAATTTTTCTTACCTTCTCTAACGAAGGAGAGGAAGGTTGCTGCTAGATCCAGTGCTGCTGCTGCTGCTCTTGTTGCTGCTGCTGCTGCTGCTGTTGCTGCTGCTTCTGAGGCTACGCTGGCTGAGGATAAAGGGGCAAATGCCTCCTGTGCAGCCTGAGGGAAGAAGACACACTCTTAGCATTGCTGCTTAGGCAAAGGCCACAATCCCATCAGCTGCACCAACTGCAGCAGCAGCAGCAGCAGCAGAAGCATAAGCAGCAGCAGCAGCAGCAGCACCGGTATGTCGCTTGGGCCGGCGACCTTCTAGCTAAACCCTAAACCCTAAACCCTAAACCCTAGAAGAAATTTAACCTAATATACATCCTCTCTCCCCCTTAACCATTGGTCTCCTCAATCCCTCAGCAAGCAGCAGCAGAGGTGCCTATACACCTCAGCAACAGGCAGCGTCCCTGCCCCTCAATATATTTATATCTATGCATGCAAGGGGAAGGAATAGAGTATAAGAGTATTGCTATACACTGGAGATGTCTTACCTTATATTAGTTATGCATGCACGCATGCATGCATGCATGCATGCATGCATGCATGCATGGTAGCCAAGATCTGTCTTTATTTATTCTTTTTATGTATTTATTTGTTAATAGTAGAGGTTATTTGCATAAAAAAGAAAAAAAAAGAAAAATATATAATAATTATATATAATATTTATTTATATTTTTTATTAAGAATAAATATGCATGCATATAAAAAAAGTTTGGGGCTTTTTTTGCCCCCTTATACTGTTGCTGTGCTAAAGGAGACACTTTATCCCCTCAAGGGCCCCCCAAGGGGCCCCTCTGTCTCGGGCCCAAGGGGCCCCCCTGTGTAGGGCCCAAGGGGCCCCCCTGTCTCCATCATGGGTAAGGAGAAGGTTATATTAACTTGTTTCTTCCTTAATAATGCAGGGATAAATAAATAAATAAATAAATAAATAAATAAATAAATATATTATCCTTATATATAGAGGAGAGGAGTCATGAGGGGTAAACAGAAAAAAGGAGACACTTAATCTTATGTACATAAAGAAAAAGGAAAAAGGAGACAATTATTTTTTTTTGTCTCCTTTTTCTTCCTTAATATGCATGCATGCAATGCATGCATGCGCAGCAGGGTTGCTGCTGCTGAGTTGTTGATGTTGTTGCTGTTGCTGCTGCTGCTGCTGCTGCAACAGCAGGAGGCCGTCCCAGACAAATCCTCCTTAGTATAACTGTCTCCTTCTTGTGCTGCTGTATGCTGCTGCTGCCTATCTATGCTACTATGTTGCTGCTGCTGCTGCTGCCTATCTATACTACTATGTTGCTGCTGCTGCTGCTGCTGCTTATGGCACAAGGAGACAGCAGATAAAGGGAGACACAATTGTCTCCTGCATGCATTCCTTTTTGCTGCTTTGTTGATGCTAATAAGCATAAGAAGATTATTCATTACCTCTATTAAGGGGTAACCCTAATCCTAAACCCTAAACCCTAACCCTAACCCTAAACCCTAACCCTAAACCCTAAACCCTAATCCTAACCCTAAACCCTAGTCTTATTATGCAATAAAACATTCCTACCATCCTACAAACCCTAAACCCTAAACCCTAAACCCTAAATGCATGCAATATAGAGTAAGCAGGAGTTGTTACTAGTTGCTAGTAAGCAGTAACAACATTAATGCATGCAAAATATATTTTGTATAGTTAGTTACTAATATATTGTGTATACATAAGGAGACAAACAAACAAAAAAAAAAAAAAAAAAAAAAAAAAAAAAAAT